AGTAGCTGGGACCACAGGTGCCGCCACAATGCCTGGCTATTTTTTGTTGCAGTTTGGCCAGGGCTGGGTTTGAACCCGCCACCCTCGGTATATGGGGGTGGTGCCCAACTCACTGAGCCACAGGCACCCCCCACGGTGTGCTTTAAGAGGTACAGGAAATCCCTCCAGGCAGGCCTAGCAAGGGTCTGAGATTTCACTAAGAAGAGATAAATTAAGGTTTGCAAGTCTTCCTTTTCCAAATTCAAGGTTACCTCTGAGAAGTCAGAGGGTAGGAGAACAACTATCTTCGGGCCAAGTCCGGCGTCCTGTGGTGGTTATGTGCATTCAGCAGCTCTTCCTTCACGTCAGGCGCCTGCGGCGGGGAGGAGGAGGAGGTCTCTGCCACCAGGGCTCCCTGCAGACCCAGGGCACCTGGGGGCATGTCAGGCTGAGCAGTGTGCTGGTTACCTGGGAAGGAGAGAAGGGCAGGGTTGGTCAGAGGGCAGCGTGGAAGGAGCAGGCACAAAGCCAACCTCACCAGCTGTACCTGAGCGCTGGCTTAGGCTGGAGGAAAACCACCGATACAATTACTAGCAACATCACCTGACAGAATAGTTCACTGGAGAGGGAACTGAGGTTTACTACAGAAACAATCCACCAAGAAGCTGACAGATAAATCCATCAGCACAGGCAACTCTGAGACAACAAACCTTTCCAGGATCTCCTAGCCTGTCCCCTCCTTTCCCAATCACAGCCATTCAGCTTTGCCCAGTCAGTCTTTGATTACCGTGGCTCACTCCTGTAATCTCAAGACTTTGGGAGACCAAGGTGGGAAGATCCATTAGCTCAGAAGTTCATGGAGCAAGAGCAAGATCCTGTCTCTAATAAAAGCAGAAAAACTAGCCAAGAATGGGGGTGGGCACCTGTAGTCCCAGCTACTCAGGAGGCTGAGGCAGGGGGATCACTTGAACCCAAGAGGTGGCTGTGAGCTATGATGATGCTATGGCACTCTACCGAGGGTAACAGACTGAGACTCTGTCTAAATAAATAAATAAATAAATAAACAAAAATGAAATTAAAATGGTATAATAGAAGCTATCTATCTAACATCAAAGAAGGCAAAATTCAAGAGCAGAGAAACACAAAAGTCATCAGACCCATAGAATACAAATAGTAAAAAGGCAGAGATAAAATCAACTTTATCAGTAATATCATTAAGTGGTTTAAACACTCCAAAAAAGGGCAGAAATTGGAAGAATGAATAACACTCAGATGCTGTTACAAGAAAAACACGTTAGCAACAAAACGAAAATAATATTTAGAAATGAATTCACAAAAGATACACAAGATTTGTATATCTTGAAAACTACCAAAATATCATTAAAAGAAATTAAAGCAGACCTAAAATAAACAGAAAGACATGTTTTATTCATGGATTAGAAAACAATATTGTTAAGATACCAATACCTTCCAAATTGATAATAGATCAATTAAGAGATTCCATGCAATCTCTATTAAATTCTTAGCTGAATTTTTACAAAAATTGGCAGGCAATCTGACCCCAGCATTGACAAAGAAATCTACAAGGCCCTGAATGACCAAAAAAACCTAAAAAGAAAAATAAAGTTGGAAGAACTAGATTTTTTCATCTTTTAAGTTTTTCATTTTTTTTTCTTGTTTTTATTAAATCATAACTGTGTACATTAATGCAATTATGGGGTACAATGTGCTAGTTTTATATACAATTTGAGATACTTTCAACAAACTGGTTAACATAGCCTTCATCGTATTTTCTTAGTTATTGTGTTAAGATATTTATATTCTATCGTTAGTAGCTTTAACTTGTACCCTTGTAAAATGCACCATAGGTGTGGTCCCACCAATTACCCTCCCTATACCTGATATCGGACAGGTGGTGCCCCAGCCAGCTCAACCGAGCGGGGCTGGAGGACCTTCCGTCTCCGTCTTAGTGGTGTTGGTGGCAGCAGTCAGCAGAGGAACCAGCAGGCTAGAGCATAGGCAAGGGGCAGGGGGAGAGGCTTCCCTCCCTCAATGGAGGCTCCAGCAGCCAAAAGAACCAGACATGAGCAAGGGAAGACACTAGCGCTGTGCTGTCCCCTCATGTGGACTTCTGGCAATTCCTCCAGGGCATCCCTGATTGGTCTGTTTTCAAAACCTGGTCCTGATTAGTATGTTTTCAGGACCCAAAAGCTCATTGGACAACTGCCTCTATATAAGCCAGAGAGCCTAAGGGCAGATCTCGCCGGACCTCCTAGAGAGAGCAGGAGAACAAGGAGGTTTGGTTCCTTGTGAGAGCTGTAACACTACCTTACTGCTAGTCCTACTCTGCAAGGAAGTTTGGTTCCTTGTGAGAGCTGTAACACTTGTAATATAAGACCTATCTTACTGCTGATCCTGCTCCACAAGGAAGCTTGGTTCTTTGTAAGAGCTGTAACACTTACATTGTTAAATAAAACCTATCCTGTGGTCTGTCACTTCATTTTTCGAAGCACTGAGACCAAGAGCCTGGAAATCCAGTATCAAAAATCTGGTATCACACCCATCCTCCACCCTTCCCTCCCCTCCCTCTCCTCTTTCCCCTTAATCTCGGGCTATAGTTGGGTTATAGGTTTCATTTGGAAGTGTGGGGGCTTGTAAATTAGTTTCACAGTAGGGCTGAGTACACTGGATACATTTTTGTCCTTTTTTGAGATACTTTGCTAAGAAGAATATGTTTCGGCTCCATTCATGTAGACATGAAAGAGGTAAAGTCTCCATCTTTCTTTAAGGTTGCATAATATTCCGTGGTGTACATATACCACAATTTATTGATCCATTCATGGGTCAAGGGGACTTGGGCTTCTTCCATGACTTAGCTGCAATAAACATTATGGTGCAAATATCTTTGTTATAAAGTGATTTTTGGTCCTCTGGATATATATATACCTAATAGAGGAATTGAAAGATCGAATGGCTGGTCTATTTTTAGATCCCTAAGTGATCTCCAAATATCATTCCAAAAGGAACGTATTAGTCTGCATTCCCACCAGCAGTGCAGAAGTGTTCCCTTTTCTCCACACCCAAGCCAACATCTATGGCTTTGGGATTTTGTGATATGGGCTAATCTTACTGGAGTTAGATGATATCTCAAAGTGGTTTTGATTTGCATTTATCTGATGATTAAGGGTGATAAGCATTTTTTTCATGTGTCTGTAGGCCATGCACCTGTCTTCTTCAGAGAAGTTTCTCTTCAAGTCCCTTGCCCATCCTGAGATGGGATCACTTGTTCTTTTCTTGCTAATACATTCTCTGAGTTCTCTGTGGAGTCTGGTTATTAAACCTTTGTCAGAAACATAACCTGCAAATATCTTTTCCCATTCTGAGGGCTGTCTGCTTGCTTTATTTACTGTGTTTTTGGCTATGCAGAAGCTTTTTAGTTTGATCAGGTCCCAGTACTGTATTTTTGATGTTACTTCAATTGCCTGGGGTGGGTGTGGGAGGTCCTCCTCAGAAAATATTCGCCCAGGCCGATTCTTCAAGACTATTCCTTGCACATTCTTCTAGTATTTTTATAGTTTCATGTCTTAAGTTTAAATCTTTAATCCAGTGAAAGTCTATCTTAGTTAATGGTGAAAGGTGTGGTTCCAGTTTCAGTCTTCTACAGGTTGCCAGCCAGTTCACCTAGCATCATTTGCTAAATAGGGAGTCTATTCCCCACTGAATTTTTCAATTGGCTCATCAAAGATGAAATGAGAGTAAGTAGCTAGGTTCACCTCTTGGTTCTCAATTCTGTTCCATACATCTACCTCTCTGTTTTTGTGCCAATATCATGCTGTTTTGATCACTATCACTATCAATTTATAGTATAGTCTGAGGTCTGGTAATATGAGTCCTCCTGATTTGCTTTTATTTCCAAGTAATGTCTTGACTGTTTGAGGCTTTTTCTGATTCCATATGAAATGAAGTATTATTTTTTTTGAGGTCTTTAAAATATGACAATGGTGCTTTAATAGGGATTACATTAAAATTGTATATTTTTTTGGGTAGTATGGACATTTTAACAATGTTGATTCTTTCCAGACATGAGCATGGTATGTTTTTCTATTTGTTAACATCTTCAGCTATTTCTTTTCTGAGAGTTTCATAGTTCTCTTTATAGAGATCTTTCATGTCCTTTGTTATGTAAAGTCCCAAATACTTCATCTTCCTTGGCACTATTGTAAAAAGAATAGAGTCCTTGACCGTTTTTTCAGCTTGACTATTGTTGGTACATATAAAACAGATTTGTGAGTATTGATTTTGTAACCTGAGATGCTGCTGTATTCCTTGATCACTTCTAAGAGTTTTG